ATTGGTTTGATTTCTAAAAGGAAATGATATCAAGCTCTGTGTTCCTAGCCAGTCTTGGCTCATCCAAATAAAGGTCAAGCTCTGATTTCTATGATGCGGTAGTAGACTTAACCGAAGACATCTCATCAAATTCCTACAAAATGAGAAGGAGATAGTATAAGAATACACAAGCACACATAAGCATAGAGCATCCGCATTACCAATAAATAGAGGAATTACCTTGAATATAGCATCCACATAATCATTTCCTTCTTTTTTCATCATAAAAGATTCAAAAGCATTGGTCTTTTGACTAGTTGAGTCCTCCTTTTTCTTGTTGTACTCTTCAAAAATAGAGTACAACTTACTCCTCATTGATATGCATTCAAGACAATCATCTCCATAAAGCCTTGTGTAACTGAACTCAACAAGCCTAAGCTTAAAACGAGGATCTAGAACACATGTTATAGCCAAGGTAAGATGGAACTAAGACCAATACTTTTGAAACTTTCCCCACATTGTTGTTGCCATATACTTTAAGTACTCATCATCATCTTCTGAATATTGTTTCAACATGAAGCAACTATGCCAAATGGAAGGGAAGTACAAGTTGGCAGTGGGATATTTTATTCCAGAAAATTTAAGAGTTGCATTATAGAACAACTTCAAAAAAGTTTTAATCTTTTCAACTTTGTCCCACTTGGCACTAGAAGGACAATGCTTATAGTTTGAATCACTCAACTTTAAATGTTGAAATACACGGCGATAATAAAGAGCACTTTTAAGCATAAGATATGTTGAGTTCCACCTAGTTGGTACATCTTGACACAACCCTTTCTTATCACTAATTGCAACTAACTTCACACAATCTAAAAACTCTTGCTTCCTCACTTGGGATCCCTTGACATATTTGACACTATCATGGATCTTAACAATAGAATCATCAATCTGCTTCAAACCCTCTTGCACAACTAAATTTAGTATGTGTGCACAGCATTGCATGTGAAATAGATCGCCATTGTGTACAAGAACCCATTTCACAACTAGTTGCTCTCTTAACATGTCAACAGAAACACCATTTGCAGAAGCATTATCTAATGTCACACTAAACACCATGTTCTCAATTCCCCAATCACTCAAAAACCCATAAAGTTTTTTAGATAAAGCAACACCATTATGTGGGGGTGGCATAAACTAAAGTTTAACACTCTTTTCTACAAGTTTTAATTCTTATCTATGAAATGTGCAGTGAGATAAGAATATCCATCACTAGTCAAAGAACTCCATGCATCAGAAGTAGAGTTAATTCTACTTGGAGTAGCCTCTAACATGCATTTAATTCGTAACATTTCCTTTTTGTAAACCTTTAAAGCATCAGCCTTTGCAGTATTTCTAGAGACCAATTGAATTTGAGGGTGCAAGTACTGAAATAGAGACCTTATTCCCGCATATTCAACAAAACTAAAAGGTAAATCATGCATGATTGGGAGGATAGTTCATTCATCACAAAGGCATTCGCTAAGCAGCTAAGCTGAAGTCAAATACCCGGCTCAGTCCTATCTCTGAATTCTGGTTAATATTTATTATTCCTTACCTTTGCGGACCATTCGTAGCATCGGAGAATGTGAAAAAGAATGTCCTTTTCCTGCTACAACCAACTCACGAAATTTTTCAGGCTCATACTTACCTCTACTAAGTGCACTGCACCAGCTTCTTGGGCAATGAGCATCTGCCCTATATCACGGTAGGAGGTTTTCAGACAACTCACAAGATGACGTTTCAGATTACCAGTTCCGTACTTGCTATCTGTTAGCCTTTGTAGTATTTCTAGAGACCAATTGAATTTGAGGGTGCAAGTACTGAAATAGAGACCTTATTCCCACATATTCAACAAAACTAAAAGGTAAATCATGCATGATTATAACTGCTACAACCAACTAACGAAATTTTTCAGGATTGTACTTACCTCTACTAAGTGCAGTGCACCAGCTTCTTGGGCAATGAGCATCTGCCCTATATCACGGTAGGAGGTTTTTAGACAACTCATAAGATGACGTTTCAGATTATCAGTTCCGTACTTGCTATCTGCGAGGTACACAGAGTTACAATGTTTGCACTTGGTCTTCAATTTCTTGTCCGGACCCAAAGGAAGATGAACAAAGTGACTCCAAACTTTTGAGGTCAGATTCATTTTTCTTTTCTGGAGTTGCTCGTCTCGAGTTTTGGTATTCAAACTCGATCCATCAATCTCTTCAACCTCAACATCCACACTTTGAGACTCAATGGACTCAAGATCAATTTTCATTGTGTTAAATTAATTTGCACAAAATAAAACATTACTTAAACATTAGTTTAATTGTAGAAGAAAAGAGCATATTGCAATAATATTGCAATAGGTATTACTATGGAACTGTCATGCTTATTTGCATAAGCTTTTATGAATGCAATGATAGGGTTTCCAATTACTCTTTAGCACGGCCCTCATTTTTTTTAGTTTTTACTTTTTACAACTCTTTTTGAGATTATATAAATCATTTGATATTATGTTAGTTTTTCTACTATAATTTCTACATACATGATGCAAATGTAAATTGCTTAAAATCAAGGAACATGTCGATTAGCTCTAGGCTTAAGAAAAGGCAACTCAAATCTGTTTAGTCTAATATGCTTTTGTAAGAGAAAGCTTTTAGGGGCGTGTTCTAGATTGCTCAAAAGACAATGTATGTGAGATTGAGGTTCCCAAGTATGTGAAAACTGATATACACAACCATTAATTAAATATACACAACCATTAATCAAACTGATATTCCCAAATACAGTATATTTCCAACAATAAAATATACACAACCATTAATCAAAGGATGTACAAAAACAAAAAATAAAAATGGAGGCGGAATGGTAAAATAGAAATACTTGTTTTCGAAGAAGAATAAGCAAAAACAACTGTTTTGAATCCGAAGTATGCGAAAACTGAAATCCAAGACGAGAGAAGTTATGGAAAAGAAAAAAAAAGTAAGTAAATTGAAATCCAAAGGGAAGAAACGAATGGGAATGGGTTTTACCGTGACCGTGTTTGCTTGCAGTGGAGAAACACTGTGACCGTGTTTTGTGTGACGAGTGGAGAGGAAAGAAGAAGAAGAAGAAAAAGAAAAGAGAAGTGAGAAGCGGCGGTGGTCCGGTGGCCTGAGATCAGGCGGTGGTCCGGTGGACTGAGATCAGGCGGTGGAGAGGAGAGTTGAGAGTGGAAGTCGCAGGAGAGACATAGACTAAAGAGAAGAAGGATTTGGAATGTTGGGCGGCTGGCGAGATTAGAGATAGAGGCATAATAAATAGTGAAACATTTTTAACCTAGGTAATAAATGGGTTGTATAATCGTGTTATCTAAATATGACACGTTTAATAAACGGATTGTATAATCGTGTTATCCAAATATGACACGTTTCATAAACGGGTTATGACAGGTCAATTATGGGTTGATGGGTCAACTTGAAAATAACATGTTATTTAATCGTATTTCGCTGGTTCAACTTGATTTTGACCCGAACCTATTTATGATAAACCAAAACCTGCTAATTTTGTGTGGGTTTTGAGTCGTGTCGTCGTGTCGCTATCTGGATTACTAGCCCTATCTTTGATGCAGCTCGTGCAAAGAGCATGTGGGTTTTTTTTATTTTTTAGAAAAGTCGAGATCTCGTCTTTGTCGAATGGCAATTACTATTTTGTTTTGTTTTTTGTTTTTTTTAGAATATTGATGGCAAGTACTATTTTACTACGTGCGATACTATACTATACATTAAAAGTGTGATGTTAATTTTGTATTTCACTTATACACCTTTTTTTTTATATTTTTTCTTTATTCACTTTCGCCCCTTTTCTTTTTATATTTTTTACTTTATCTATTTGGCCTTTATGTTGTTTGTCACAATGCTTTTATGTGCAAATTAAGCCAAAAAAAAAGTGTTCGTCTTTCGTGCTTAAGAAACGACAACAACGACATCATGGAACTAAACGGCTTTATGACTTCAACAAGATAGAAAAAGAAAGAAAAACGATATCATCGAGATAACTTAAAAGGTCAACTTAAATGACATATTTATGAGAATTGGCTCTGATTATGAATTTGTTTGCTTAGGTTGAAAACTTTCGTCAGAAGTTTATATAAGGGTTATTTGCGATGCAAGCAAGAAAGTGGAGTAAAATGTTTCAATTAAATTGCAGGATTCAAAATCACAGTTAATCGGAGTCTTTTAGGTGTGTACTTAAGTACAAAATTTAGGGTGTGTTCAGCTGTCTAAAAAACTCAAAAAAATGTAACTCGAGTTTCAACTTTATTCAAGTTTATGTTCTTTTAAGTTTGAATTTGAGTTTGAACTCGAGTTTGAGACTAAAACTTGAGTTCAAGTGTCCCATGTAACTCGAGTTTAGAAACTCAAACTCAAATTAATAAACAATATTTTTTCTATTCTTAAAAATGTTATAATTTTTTCGTTTTAATCCTTATTGAGATGTTTTTTTATATGCGTTGACAACAAAAATACGAATAAAACCCCACCTATATACCCTATTAAAATTTTTCATCACTATTGAGTTTTTATTAAAATACTATATAAATACAAATTTAAGTTTTGACTCACTCAAACACAAACTCAAAAAAAGATTCTTATCTCAAACCATAACTCAAATATACACAATCAAACACAAACTCAAATTATAACTTCAACTCAAATTATAATTCAAATTCAACTCAAAAATTACACTAAGTTACACTCTAAAATAACATGCCCAAATGTTGTGTAAAATTACTTTGTACATCATACTGTACATTCTTCACTCATCATATACCGCAATTTTTCTTAGGAAAATACAACATGTCGTTTTCTTAAATAACAATCTACCAGTCGCGAGTCTACCGCAGATAAGAGAGACCTTACTGCAGAGGATACAAAACACGTCCCCTTCTCAGACGGAAGAAGAGCCATCGAAGCAAGAGAGAAGAAAAGTCTATTGGAGTCTTAACAACTACAAAATTGTCGTTTCTCTTTCTCTCTCTGTGTTTGGAGAGAGAAAATCACCAAAAACAGAGTATTCGATTCGATTCTTCTTCGAGTTACAGAAGAGAGATTAATGGCGGTTGGGAAGGAAGCCAGCGGGGAGATTGTCAAGGCCCGTACGGACAAGAGGGAGTACAGGAGGATCGTCCTCCCCAACTCCCTCCAAGTCCTCCTCATCAGCGATCCCGACACCGACAAGGCAAATCCTAAATCTCCTCGAACGATTCGAAGTTGTGTTTTTGTCGATTTCAATCTCACGATTTTTGCCTTTTCTGTTTCCTTTCTGATATCATTCGTTGCAGTGTGCTGCTTCCATGGATGTCCGCGTTGGCTCCTTCTGCGACCCTGATGGCCTCGAAGGACTCGCCCATTTTCTTGGTATCTTTTTTTTATTATTATTATGGAAATGAGTTGTTTTTGGTGGTTGAATTTATGTTGTTCTAGTTGTGTGGATGATTTATTCGCATTTTACTCTGTTTCGGCTTTTGATTTCGTTGTTTTGCAAATGAGTGTTCTAGTTTTGTACAGTAAACTGGGATGAATCATGAAACCGGGTTTGTTTTGACTTGCTGAAATGATTGCTTGTAAAGGTGAATGGAGAATTTGATCAAGGGGCAGTTCTTTTGCCCTTTTTGAGTTAGGTGACTTGAGAGGCAATATGCTAAAATGACTTTCCAACAAAGTAAAATTAGTAAAATGACATTCTTCTATTTTTTATGAAGAAAGACATTTACTCATTCTTTGTAAAATGAGGTTATTTTGTAAATAAAATTTTTTGAGAAGTTATTTTACTAATAAAACTTTTTAAAAGAGTTATTTTTACAAAGGCCTCTGACTTGAGTGTAGATTTTGAATTCAGGTGAATTTGATGATTGTTAGATTAATGATAACAATTCAATACGGATGTTTGTTTTAATTAAGATCATCTCTAATGTAAGTGCGATCGTGAGTGGCATATTTGGCATTAAAAAGTGTGAAAATGACGTATTTGATATGTTATGTTATTTTCATTTGTATTTTAATGCATAGTGCTATTTCAAATGCTAAATCTATTTTTTTGTTTTTTTGCTTTAATCATTAACTTCAAAAGTTGTAAAAGTAAATTTTTAATGTTAAAATAATTTAAAAATGCAAATGTTGTAATCATTTTAAAAAAAAAAAATTGTAATGAATAAATGAAAAGGTAAACATGCTAACCAATAACAATCAAATGCTAAATTTTTCATATGCTATACTCGGTGGCAAATTTGCCACCAAGCACGACAAATTTAGCACAAATAATAGAACTGCATTGAAGAGTATTTTCCCACTCAAATGCTCAAATTTGGTGTTAGCACACTAATTTAGCATTACATTGGAGATTGATAAGAACCAGAGCTAGGGGCTGCTTGTCTATAGCAGAAAGAAGAAATGCTACGTTAGTAATTAGGCTGGTGTGGCTTGTAACTGAATTCGGTTAGTTTGTTAGCATGAGAGTTAGTTTGTTAGCATGAGAGGGTGGGTTGTAAATGGGACTGAGTGGCTTATAAATAAGAGGGGGCTCGAGAGGTTAGGCAGTTTTGGGAAGTATAGAGTTTTTGAAGAGGAGAGTCGGTGATCTCTCGAATATCACCATTGTTAGAATGATTGATTCCTTGCATTTGAATACAATTCTCATTCGTCTGTTTTGTTCTCTGCCATTTTGTTATGGTTTCTATCAAATTGGTAAGCAGTTCCGTCGGGGAATGGTAGTTAAGAGAACTGATAGGAAAATGGAAGGAAGAGTGGAGCATGTTGAGAAAGAAGTCGGTGAGCTTGTGATGAACGTCGGAGGATTGAAGGAAGTTGTTGGACAATTTTCAAAGGATATCGGCGCAGTGAAGGAGTACATGAAAGAGTTTTCAGTTTGGATGAGGTCGGGAAGCAACATGAATTAGCCGGCAGAACAAGCTAGGGTTTCTGCTTCCAACGGCAACGGGAATTCATCGGTACTGGCGGAGCAAGCTGAAAATCCACCGGCAGAGCAAGCTGAAAATCCACCGGCAGAGCAAGCTAGGGCTTCTGCTTCGAACGGCGGAGATGCAGGTGGTGCTATGATGGCAGCGTATCGTTTTGGTTATGGAATAGCGCCCAGTGCTTAGAGCGGTGGGGAATCAAGATTCCGTCGGATGGAGATTCCTCTCTTCAACGGCGAAGATCCACAAGTTGGTTATTCCGGCTAGAGCGATACTTCCAAGTTCATGGCGTCGAGGCGGCAGAACAAGTGGCGGCGGCTGTGATTGGACTCGAAGGCAAAGCATAGAATTGGTTCCAGTGGATGGAATCCAGGTTCGGTGTGGTAGATTGGCCGACCTTTAAAGAATTGGTGCCTCACAAACCGGAAATCACTATGAGTCTTTGATTGCCTTACGTTAAGATTTGTCGGTGGCGGAATTCCGGGAACGGTTTGAATTGCTTTCGGCTCCCTTGAGAGAGGCGGACGAGGAGTTCTTGATCGGAGCTTTCTCGAATGGTCCGACTGAGGAAATCAAGGCTGAGGTACGCATGGTTAAGCCTGCTTCTCTCATTCAGTTGATGGACCTGGCCCAAAAGGTTGAAGAAAAAAATTGGGCTTTTGAGAGGGCTTAAGTGGGACGGTTATCAAGGCCCAGAGTTGGTGGAGATGGGTTTGGTATTTCTAGAGATTACTATGGGTCAAAGAAAATGGTGATAGGAGGAAATTCAATGAGTGGTTCCAGCTAGATGCCACCGAGATTTTCAGAGAACAATAGGGGAACTTTGGGAAATTCAGAAGTGCCACGAGCCAGTACTATCAGTTTCCTTCAGTCCAACGCGTATTAGTGCTCCCTCTCAGTCTATTCGGCGGGGTGAAGAGATCAGGAAAAAAATTACTGATGCCGAGATGTAGAGAAGAAGAGAACGGGGACTATGTTTCCTGTGTGAGGAGAAGTGGCATGTCGGCCATGTTTGTAAAAACCCCCTATTACAAGTCCTTATTGCAGCAGTAGAAGAAGACGAGGAGAACATGGCTGCTGAAGAACCAGGCTCCCTAACGGCGACGCAGGAAAGAAGGATCCATGGAACTTTCCATGAGTTCCATAGTTGGAATTCCATCAGTCAACATTATGAAGGTGAAAGGTACGATTTTGGGCCAGGACTCTAAGGGGATTGTTGAGGAATTGCAAATACCGGTAGATGCGGCACCCAATTTTGGAATCATGGTCAGAAATGGTTACAAGGTTGTCGGACAGGGGATATGTTGGCATGTAGAAGTCCGGTTGCAAGGATTGACAATTATTCAAGATTTCTTTCCTCTTGAGCTGGGTAGTGCTGACGTTATCTTGGGGATCTATTGGCTGGGCATGTTAGGGGAGGTAAGCGCCAATTGGAAAAACTTGACTATGCGGTTTGATTGACAGGGAAAATGAGTCTTACTCCAAGGAGATTCTTCTTTGTCTAAGACTTTAGTTTCTCTCAAGGCCATGATTAAAGCTATTCAGGAGGAAGGACAGGGGTTCCTCGTTGAATTTGGGCACGTGTCAATGCTAGATCAGTCAAAGGGATGTGTGAGTGACGCGGACTTGGAGAGGTTACTGGCAGAGTTCCATTCAGTTTTTGAAACTCCGGCCGGCCTTCCTCCTTCAAGGTTTCATGATCATGCGATTCCACTGAAGGATGGGGCCGATCCACCAAATTTGCGTCCATACCGTTTCCTCATTTGCAAAAAGATGAGATTGAGCGCATCGCGAAGGAGATGATGGCAGCAAGTATCATTAAGCTTAGCAACAGTCCTTTTTCTAGTCCGGTACTGCTAGTCAAAAAGAAATCTGGGGAATGACGTTTCTGTGTAGACTATCGCGCATTAAATAAGATTACAATTCCTGATCGGTTTCCAATTCCGGCTATCGATGAACTTTTAGATGAGTTAGGAGGGGTTGTTTTCTTTTCCAAATTAGACTTGAAATCGGCTATCATCAAATCAGAGTATGAGAGGAGGATACGCTGAAGACAGTTTTCCGTACTCACGAGGATCACTATGAATTTTTGGTTATGCCATTCGACTTAACCAATGCGCCGGCTACCTTTCAGTCATTAATGAACGAGGTTTTCTGGCCACACTTGCGCAAATTTGTCTTGGTCTTTTTCGACGATATCCTTGTCTACAGTCAGGATTGGGACTCTCATTTACATGATTTACGACTTGTGCTTACTCTACTGCAGCAAAACCAATTAGTTGCCAACAAGAAGAAATGTGTTTTTGGGTAGCAGACAACAGAATATTTGGGTCATATTATCTCCGAGTCCGGTGTACAAGCTGATCCTGCAAAGATCGCCGCAATGGTGGATTGGCCAGTTCCCAAGAACATTCGTGATTTGCGTGGATTCTTGGGACTCATGGGTTACTACAGGCGCTTTGTGCAGAATTATGGCAAGGTGGCTGAGCCTTCAGCTCACTTACTAAAAAAAGATGCTTTTTTATGGTCTTCGGAGGCTCAGGGGGCTTTTGAGGAGTTAAAACGGCGAATGGTGACGTTACCGGCTTTAGCCTTGCCGGATTTTACCAAACCATTTATTATTGAGACTGATGCTTCAGGACGAGGTCTTGGCGCTGTGTTAATGTAGGAAAATAGGCTCATTGCCTTTCTTAGCCAATCACTTTCCGATAGGGGCCGTTCCAAATCCATGTACGAGCGCGAATTAATGGCTTTTGTCTTAGCTACTAAGAAGTGGCGGCACTATCTTTTGGGAAGGCATTTTATTGTGCGGACGGATCAACGGAGTTTGCGCTTCCTTCTTGAACGACATGTTATGAATGAAGATCAACAACGTTGGATCTGTAAACTCATTGGGTTGGATTTTGAAATCCAATGTAAGCCTGGCCGCGATAACAATGTCGCGGATGCCCTGTCCCGCAAAGGTGAAGAGCTCCAGCTGCAGGCATTTTCCGTGATGCATACACGGGAATTGGAGTCTTTTGAGGAGGACGTGCAAAATGATGATAAGCTCATATTGATTGTTCAGGGGCTCTTGTTGGATCCACAATTTAAATCCGGTTATCAACTCAACGGGGGTCGCCTCTATTACAAGCACCGGTTGGTACTACCTGCAACTTCCAGGCTCATTCCGAAGTTTATCCGTGAATTCCATTCTTCAGCCATGGGGGGCCATTCTGGATTCTTTCATACTTACAGAGATTGGCTGCTGTTTTATTTTGGGAAGGGATGAAATGTGACATTCAACGCATGGTGGTTGAATGCGAGGTTTGCCAGAGAGTGAAATACGATGCCCTTAAGCCGGTGAGTCTTCTACAGCCTTTGCCAATTCCGGAGCAGGCTTGGACGACATTTCTATGGACTTTATTGGTGTCCTGCCTAAGGCTTTGGGGCGTGACACGATCATAGTAGTGGTGGACCGCCTAACCAAGTATGTTCATTTTTTTCGTTGTCTCATCCTTTTACCGCTCGGGAGGTTGCAGAAGTGTTTGTGAAGGGTGTCGTACGTTTGCACGGTTTTCCTCGTTCCATTGTTTCTGACAGAGAGAGTGTTCATCAGCAATTTTTGGAGGGAGTTGTTTCGATTGGCCGGTACTGAGCTTCGCATGAGCTCCACTTACCATCCTCAAACGGATGGTCAGACAGATGTTGTTAACCGGAGTTTGGAAGAATATTTGTGGTGCTTCTGTGGCAATAAGCCGCGGTAGTGGCCTCATTGGCTAGGGTGGGCCGAGTATTGGTTTAACACTACATTTCACAGTTCGGCTAGAATGTCGCCGTTTAAGGCCTTGTATGGTCGCAAGGCTCCTACTTTGCTACATTAGGAAGACAGTGGTTCGGTAGTGGAAGCTGTAAACCATCTGCTCCGCGATCAGAATGCCATTCTTCGGGAGCTTAAGGAACGTCTGACTGCAGCCCAACACCGTATGAAGTTGTATGCTGATTAGAAACGGCGCGACATCCAGTTTCAGCCAGGAGATTAGGTGTATTTGAAGTTACAACCCTACCGTTTGAAATTGTTGGCTCGTCGCCGCAATGAAAAACTCAGTCCTCGATTTTATGGGCCTTTCAAGATTGTGGCACGGGTGGGGAGTGTTGCTTATCATCTCCAACTTCCTTCTTTTGCGCGGATTCATGCTGTTTTCCATGTGTCTCAGCTTCGGAAGGTTTTACTTCCTTTGACACCTGTGCAGCAGTTTCTGACAGTGTTGATTGAGGATATGGAACTTGCTGTCGAACCGGCCGAAATGTTGCAGGCTCGGAAACTTTTTAATGGTTCGGTGGCGGTGTTGGTGAAATGGAAGGATTTTCCTGATTGTGATAGTACTTGGGAGTCTTGGGAGTTATTGTTCAAGCAGTTTCCTCATCTAAACGTTGAGGACAAGGTTTTTCAAAATGTGGGGGGGGGGGGGGGGGGGGGTATAAGGAGTGGGGGGGGGGGGGAGGTAATGATAGGAACCAGAGCCAGGGGCTACTTGTCTATAGCAGAAAGAAGAAACGCTACGTTAGTAATTAGGCTGATGTGGCTTGTAATTGAATTTGGTTAGTTTGTTAGCATGAGAGGGTGGGTTGTAAATGGGACTGAGTGGCTTAAAAATAAGAGGGGGCTCGAGAGGTTAGGCAGTTTTGGAAAGGAGAGTCGGTGATCTCTCGAATATCACCATTGTTAGAGTGATTGATTCCTTGCATTTGAATAAAATTCTCATTTGTCTGTTTCGTTCTCTGCCAATTTGTTGTGGTTTCTATCAGAGATGTTCTAAGGATTACATTTTAATACTATTTATTTCCTTCATTTGCATTATTTTGTTGTTTTTAACTTTATTGTATTTGGTTTTGCTTTTGATGCAGAGCATATGCTGTTTTATGCTAGCGAAAAATACCCTTTGGAGGACAGTTACTCAAAGTACATTACTGAGGTGCTTACTCTCATTGATTCTCCCTAAAGATTATCTTTTCTTTTATAATTTCTTTTCTTCTGCTGCCTTTGATGTAAGAGAATTGGAAGTAACGATCATAATAAAGCAGGCCTAGACTAAGTTACCCTTGCTTGCATATAGGCCACAGTTATTGCAAAAAGTGATCTTTATATGATTCTTCAGCGTGATGTGTGAGAAACTTGATGGCCGTAAGGAATTTGTCAAAGAAACAAGTCAGTTACATGGTAACCTACCTATGCATTGAAGATCTTAAGGCAATTAATCCCTGTAAAAGATTGTAGGGATGATTCTGAAAAAGATAGAGAGAAAGAGACTGTAGGGATGAAGTTGGAATAGAAAACTCACACACGCATACTTAAAAATATGTGTGTATGTAGTTTGCACGTGAACAGATAGTTTTATTACTGTGTTGAGCAGAATTGTGTTGGTCAATTTTTTTTTCTTTTCTTTTCTAATTCAATTTAGTTTTGATAGGTCAATAATTGTTAGGTTTTTACTTGTATCATTCGTATGAGCGTACTTTTTTATTTAATAATTTATTTGGATGTGCATGTGCATGCGTCGTCCCTTGCATTGGTTTTATCTACTTATTGACTAGATGTCTCTATCTTGCCAACTCATCTTTCTGTTTTCCGCATGCTCTATGTTGTTTTTCTTCTTGACAAAAAAGCACGGGGGCAGCACAAATGCCTTCACCGCTACCGAGCACACCAACTATTATTTTGATGTTAATGCTGATTGTTTTGAAGAGGCTTTGGACAGGTGGATGCTACTATCAGTTTCATTTTTGTTGTTAATTTCATCACTATAAACTTGATGATTGTTATCTTGGAGTGTTTCTGTGGTTTATTGTTCAGATTCGCTCAGTTCTTTATCAAGCCCTTGATGTCAGCTGATGCTACAACCAGAGAAATCAAAGCTGTTGATTCTGGTTAGCTGTTCTGTTCTGATTATTATTTTTTTTCCAACTTCTTTTGCCTATTTAACCGTTATTTGCAATTATTGTTGAGGCCTGGGAGATAATTTCTCTTCGTGCTTACATATGTTTCAGAAAATCAGAAAAACTTATTGTCTGATGCTTGGAGAATGAGCCAGGTACCAATTGCTGCCTTGATTCCTTGTGAAGTCTTGATGTCCTTACAAGATGATGGATGTTTCATGTTGTTATCATGATCTCTATTCTTGGCTGTATCTAGCTTTTGTTTTCGCTTCTTTCAAAACAGGCTTGTATCTATTAAAGATAGATTTTGAAATTAGGTTCAGAAACTACTTTTTCGTAGTTTTGGTTTTGCACTCATTGAAATAATGCATGTATAGAACGAGGGTACACTGCCATTTTAATATCAAGGTGCCTGCTTTTTGCATATTATTTAGCTTGGGAAGCCACTTTTTGGAATGGAGGATAGCTAGGGTAATGGGGTTAAATGGTTTTTCCTGAAGTCCTGAAGAAGTGACACTTCTACAGTTCCTACATCAGGAAATAAAGTTTTTTGGGTTAAAGGATTGCTTCGCTTGTCACTAACTGAGCACGACTATCTAGTTTATGCATATTTTTCAACAAAATGTGAAACCAGTTCATATATTTGTAGACAATAAGAATTAATTTGGTGCTATTACGGAAACAAGATCATGTCCTACTCTTGGACTCAAGCAGGCTAGCTAATTGTAAAAGTAACATTTTGCCTAGTGTACTTACAACACAACTGTGTTCAGCTCCAGAGACATTTGAGTTTGGAGAGCCATCCATACCACAAATTTAGCACAGGTACGCATTTTTGCTTTTTTCTTAAAAACAATATCCCATCAAAATTGTAACAGCCAGGGTATCTATGCGTTAGGGGTCTTATGGCTAGGCTGATCTTAATCTGTATAGCATTCCGTTTGAGTCAGCAGGGAAGGATGTGATCTAGTCTAGTTTATTGCTTCGAATACTTCTTGCTCTCTTCTGACTTTTATATTATATACACCTTTATATTGAAAAAGTTACGTTTCCAATCAAAATCGAAATTAATTATGCAGACCATGCATGGTGGTGTTCTTTTAATTTTATGAGCTGTAAGCCATCCGGTAACCTGTCATTTTGTTATTTAGGAGTAATGATATTTTTATTTCTTTAGTAGCATTTTTGTTATTTGTTTTGTAATTTTTTTTTTTCTTGTTTGCTGCTACGTGCTACTAGTTGTATTGATCTACTTTTGTTTATGAGCGTTTACAACATCTTATGGAGGCTATTCTTATAAGACAAACACTGTTGCCTCTGGTTCAAAAGGTCTATCTTTTCTTACATTTTGCTACTCATATAGGGAACTGGGACACTTTGGAGGTCCGTCCAAAAGCAAAAGGGTTGGACACTAGACATGAGCTCATTAAATTTTATGAAGAAAATTATTCCGCCAACCTCATGCATCTGGTTGTATACGCAAAAGGTTAGTCTCTATAATTAGTGGGACACTGTAGCACTCCTTCCACACAACACCCCCCTCTTTTTAGAATAATAGCACGGTTAGTGGGTTTTAATATTTGACCATTTTGGTACTTGTGCCGTGCATATTTTCAGAGAACCTTGATAAAATCCAAGGTCTTGTGGAGGAGAATTTTAAAGATATTAAAAACACTGATCACAGTTGTTCTCGTTTTTCTGGTCAACCTTGCACATCAGAACATCTACAGGTATATGTTGCACCGCTTAACTTTTTACCTAGAGATTTACATGGTCACACTTCTACTTAGCTCATATGTCAAAATTATCCCATAGGGGTGTGTGGATCTTGAATGACGAATTTTGTTGTCCTTTCTTGTTTGCCGTTTTTTTCAGATTCTTGTAAAGGTAGTCCCAATAAAGGAAGGTCATAGATTGAGGATTGTATGGCCTGTTACTCCAGAGCTTCTCCATTACAAGGAAGGGCCTTGCGGGTATCTTGGTCATCTTATTGGCCATGAAGGAGAAGGATCTTTGTTTTACATCTTGAAAACATTGGGTGGGTTTTGTATTCTGTTATGTGACCGAGATTGTAGTTTAGCAGATTCTTTATGCTTGAAACTTTAAAGTTGTTTAATGTGCTAAACTAAACTTCAAATGTTGCCTTTTGCTGTTTGATTTTACCATAATATATTTACATCATTGTATAACCGATTTTACCATAATATATTTACATATGTATAAACTCTCTCCAACAAATTCATTCACGTTTGGATTTTTAATTTGTACTGAAAAAGTCGTTTTGCCAACGTTCAGATATTATGATATTTATATAACTATGTTTCCACTCTCAGTTTTTGTCAAAAATGTTTATTTTTATTCTATAAGAAAATTGCCTTCTTGATCAACCTTTTTTCTCTTGTCCCTTTGTGTTTTTGTTGTTTTGTCTCCCTGCTGGGTGCATGGTGCACACGTCCTGATTCTCAGTTTTCTTCTTTTTGGTTTCCTGTTAAAGATTCTCAGGTCTATTATCGTTAAGGTAGATATACTATGAAGGTTAACCAACAATAAAATTAGATTTGAAATACTGAAGTAGAAAAGAGAAGAAATTCATCAACTCAAAGGTGAAAGCTTTGGGTCTCTCATCTGTGGTAAACTGATCATAATCATGTTAACCAAGACAAATTGGTCAGAAGATTCTATGGTTTGGCACTTTTAGCCTAGCCTGCAAGTTGCCTATACTAGCAGAAAACACGTATACTTTACATGAGATGGTGCAAGCATGTAGAGAATGGACCAATTTTTACGCTTCAAGGAAACTCATGCAACTTTTGGATTGAATTGATTGGATAGATATCACATTGGAGGAAAGTGCATTGAAAAAATGCTCAATGATGATGGAATTATGGATAAATATTTTATTGCTATATATATATATATATTGTCGAGTAAAGTAAATGTAATTGCGTAGTAAAAGTTGTCTGTCATCAACCTGATTCTGTTGCTTGTTAAAACTCTGCAGGATGGGCTACTAGTTTGTCTGCAGGTGAAGGGGAGTGGTCTTTGGAGTTTTCTTTCTTTAAAGTAGCCATTGACCTTACGGATGCCGGTCAAGGTTAGTTCTTCCATATCCTCTCTTGGGCCCTTGGCAGACCTGGTTTCTTGTTGCCAACACAGATTTAAATTTTAGCTTATTTGTTAGCGATGAGTCCATCTAAGTTATCTCATGATGGGAATGATTAGGAAATTTATCTTTCACACACACACACACATTTAAAAGGTACCTATGCTCTCCAGCAACCTGGCATTTTGTGTTTTTGTAAACCTGATGGACTTATTTTGATTGAATTGCAGAGCATATGCAAGATATAATCGGTTTACTATTCAAATACATTGGTTTGCTACGGCAATCTGGTGTTTGCAAATGGATATTTGATGAGGTATGCATATGCAATATTTTTCAAGTGATTTGAATTCTTAAGGATAGAGGTTTTTTTTTTTTTTTAAAATGTTTTTCTTTTTGTTAAATATTTTTAAATTGTCTGTGTTTTCTACTATTCCATATTCGTATGCAAAGTTTTCCTGGTTATTATTTAAAGATTTTGAGACGTTTGCACAATATATTAATGAAGCTTGCAGCTATTTGTGAGACAAAGTTTCATTATCAAGACAAAATTCGTCCTATTGATTATGCTGTCGACATCACAACCAATATGCAGGTATTGTTTGGCAATTCTCTTTCTCGTTTTGGTTCTGTACAAAATGTTAAAGCAGTTTAACAATTCAAGGTTTATACTTTAAATTTTCCTGAATTTATTTTTCTATTAATGGGTAAAATACTTTTTAAAGAACAAATGAAATAATAGATGTATTAATTGTACTCTATACTTCTCTATTTGTCTTAAATTACTATTTATCTTAAATTGTTCGATCCTTGATATGCTTTTTTTCATCCTTGGTGGTTTTGACTACTTTGCAGTGTTGTGTTGTTTTGTAGAACTATAAGTAATACTAAACATTCCACTTTGAAGGGTTTGGACAATATGAACATGGTATTTGTAACTTAGGGAAAAGAATATTTGTTGCTTGTTTATCCTGTATGATGGTTTTGGTTAATTTACAGATATACCCCCCAAAAGATTGGTTGGTGGGTTCATCATTGCCCTCAAATTTCAGTCCAAGCATTATTCAAACAGTGCTAGATGAGCTCTCTTCGAGCAATGTGAGGTAATACAGTCACTTTTTGTGGATGTAAATTAGTAATTATTGAGCTTGAGTCCATGTTAAATCACCACGTTTGGATATTTTTTTTTTTTTTTTTTTTTTTTTTTTTTTTTTTTTTTTTTTTAAACCTTTATCTTATTGCAAGGTTTTATTATCTTTTTAGTAGATCATATGCTTGATTTTGGTTGATTAGAGAACTAGGTAAAGTTATATGGATGTGCAGTAAACCTGCATCAACGTTAACCATGACAAATGAACTTATAGCTCGTTTGGTTTATAGGTTTGAAAAGAAAAATTTGAATAGAAAATTTAAATTTTGTGAGAGAAAATGTTAGGATCCGTTAACTTGGGAACTTGTTGGTTAGTGGGCTGGTAGAGTTAGTAGGAATTTGTATAAATAAAGGGCTTAGTAGCTCACTAGAGTTATGTTGTGATTTTGAGAGTTTTGAGAGACTGAGATTAAGAAGAGCGGTGGTCTCTCGAATACCATCAAAGTTAGGAGTTCTCCGGAGTCCTCGAATACTCCAGTCTATCCTGAGCTTTCTTTACGTTTTTTTTAGTTTGGTTGTAAAATTCTATGAGCTAGTGTTGGTGATCAATAAAACTACTCTGATTGCCTTCTATTCTTGTTCTTTCTGTGTAAATATTGAGCTGTGAGAATCAGGTTCCTAACAATTTGGTATCAGAGCAATCGATTCTCGGAAAAAAAAAACTGTGGAAAAAAATTGCAAAAAAAAGGTGAGAAGAGTCTGGAATCGTGGGGTTTCAAGAACCAGAGCCGCCGACCGTACGAACTGTGATGGCGAGCGACGACGGAGGGAAGATGGCCAGATCCGGAATCGCGTGAGATTGACGAAGATTGGAGCCGTTTGTCGCGATATGGTGTTGAGACGTTCAGATCTGAGAAGAACGACGGCCCTTGGCTGATGTGATCTGGTCTGCAAATCCAATGCCGGCGAACGACACCAGAGATGTGACCTGAGATGGGCGATTCACGTCGGCGTGGGACAAAGGTGGAGATGCGAACTGTTTGGAGCGATTTTTCGCGACCCGGAGCTAGGTCAACTAGATCTGAAGTGAACGACAGTAGATTTGCGACGGGATCGAGTGTAGATGGGGCTGGGTTTCGCGATCCCGGTGCGTTCGAAGGTGATTCTGGCCGGATTTCGACAGGGTGTCGCGATTCCGGTGCTTCTGAGGCTAATTCCGGCCGAATTCAGACTGAGTCACGCGAGTTCGGCCCGATTTGGGTGGATTCTGACGAAATTAGGGTTGAGTCCCGAAATTCCGGCAGCCCTAGGTCTAGGTTTTGCCATTCTAATGTGATTGAGACTGATTCCGGTGATGTTTGGGTTGGGCCTCGAACTTACAGCAAGATTAGAGCCAATTATAGCCATATATGGATTGGATCATCAGGCATGAATGGGGCTTGGTCTGGGCGATCTGAGTTGGGTGAGGGAGATTGGGTTTTACAATCTGATTTGAGAGAGCGAGTTGGGTCTTCTCGATTTGGAGTCAAAATCAATCCAAGGGTTTCGAGTAGGGAGAGGGAAAGGTGGCACGACACCCTATGGGAGGGCCAAACAGATCAACGATTTCAGCGAATGGATATGCTATTTTTCGCCGGAGAAGACCCTAATAGGTGGGTTTTTAGAGCTGAATGATACTTTTTGTTCTATAGAATGAGGAACAGTGAGAAAATCCAAGCTGCTGAAATGGCTATGAAAGGTGATGCTTTGGCTTGGTATCGATGGCAGGATGCTCGTTGCTCGTTCTACAGTTGGAATGAATTGAAGATTCATCTGCTTAAGCATTTTAGATTGTCATCCGATGAGGCCGTACATGAGAGTTTCTTGGTGAAACATCAAGAGGATATTATGGCTTACTATAGATGACAATTTAAGGTACTTGCCAAACCTGGGAAAGAGATTTCAAATTCGATTTTAGAGAGAGTTGTCATTACAAAATTGGAAGTCGATAAAGAGCAAGTGGTAGGCAGTTCAAGCAGGTTGCTTCCAGCTCCAACAACATATGTTTCAGATCAAATGGATGTTCAAGGAGACTTGACTATGAAGAATTTTGAGGGCAAGGTGGACCAAGGAATTGAAAATGAAGTTGATTTTCAATTTGGTGCTAGTAATGAGGGGCTTCAAGATATGGGAAACAAGATGTCATTGACATCAAAATTTTCCAAGGATGTTACTATAGAGTCAGAGTTTGCTGCACCAGTGAAAGAAGTTAATAATGGAGTCCATTCTTGTATTTTAAAAGATGAATTTGATTCTGTTTGCAGCAATTTTGGAGCTGTTGACAAAGGAATAGAGAGTGTACACTTTCAGCTGCCCTCCATTGTTGATGTTCTGACAAACAACAAGGTAGCTTTCTCTGGCATGGTGGGAGGAAGGTTTTTGTTATAAATGAATTGTTTGAGCTAACCAACAAGGTCTTCCATTGCTACAAGGATGATTTTGAGGCCGAGCATCATGGTTTCGCTGCCTTTAAAGTGGTTCTCAATTTCAGCTCCAAACAAAAGTGTGAAGCTAAAAAAATAGAGTTAACAAGAACATTTGAAGCAAGTTCTGTACGAATCATTCCGTTCGACGTTCCAAGATCCAAGCTCATCAAGATTGGAAGGAAGTGGAATCATACGGCTGCAATTACTTAACACCTTGAGGACAAGGTGTTTCTTTGGGGCGGGGGTAATGTTAGGATCCGTTAATGACTTGGGAACTTGTTTGGTTAGTGGGCTAGTATAGTTACTAGGAATTAGTATAAATAAAGGGGTAGCTCACTAGAGGGAGGTTGTGATTTTGAGAGTTTTGGGAGACTGAGATTAGGGAGAGCTAGTGGTTTCTCGAATACCATCAAAGTTAGGAGTTCTCCGGAGTCCTCGAATACTCCAGTCTATCCTGAGCTTTCTTTACGTTTTTCTTAGTTTGGTTGTAAAATTCTATGAGCTAGTGTTGGTGATGATCAATAAAACTACTCTGATTGCCTTCTATTCTTATTCTTGTGTGTGAATATTGAGCTGTGAGAATCAGGTTCCTAACAATTAAGTCATTAACGGATCCTAATAGAAAACACTATAGCAAGAAGGTTTGAACTGTAGTTTGAACCTATGAAAAAAACGGGGCTTAGTATTGTTTCTCCGAGTTCTCTTCTCTATTGATTTTATAACGTACGTTCCATTTGATAGATTTTCTAACTCTGGGAGGTTTTCTGACATGCGTTCCATTTTATAGAATTTTCTGGGAGTCAAAGAAATTTGAAAACCAGACTGATATGGTTGAGCCATGGTATGGAACTGCTTATTCCATTGAGAAAATTAGTTGCTCCATGATTCAGGTTTGTTTTTTATCTTCATGTCATTTTAGTAGATTTATGGCTAGAGTTATAAATTGTAATTACAGTAAAAGAGTTCTTCTTAGACCGGTATAATAATATGCTTGTTTTGGTGCTCACTCTTTTAACTTAATAAGATTTTTTTTTAGTTCTGAAGCATAGAATCCTTAAAAACCTTATATTGCTTGTTATATTTGATTGCAGGAATGGATGCTGTCCTCTCCTAACGGAGATCTGCATCTACCATCCCCTAATGTCTTCATCCCCACTGATTTGTCAATTAAGAATGTGCATGAAGAGGTATACGTATATCAAAATTCGATAAAAAAGTTAACACCATGTCTCTGTATTTCTCATTCAATTGGTCTTTCTAAACAGGTCAAATATCCAACGCTCTTAAGAAAGTCACCATATTCAACATTGTGGTACAAACCTGATACCGTGTTCCTTACTCCGAAAGCATATGTTAAGATAGATTTCATCTGTCCCCATGCTAGTGACTCCCCTGAAGCTGAAGTTCTAAGTGATATTTTTACAGAGTTGCTAATGGACTACTTGAATGAATATGGTAAGATATCTTTGCAAACTTCATATGCTTTGATCTTGGGTTCCCGTATAAAGAAAAGTTCAAACATACTTGGCTGATCACAATTATATATTAAAGATACGCTCTCTTTTTAGAAAAAGCTTATTTTGGTCACTTGTTTCAGCTTATTATGCTCGTGTTGCTGGTCTTTACTATGGCATAAGCCACACAGATAGCGGTTTCCAGGTATTGTCTTAACTTTTGAATCTGATATCTTGTGCAAATCATGGTTAAAAAACAGAGAATAGGAGCTTAAATGAATAATAAAATTGCTCTATTGTATGCTAAATGACACGGTGTACAAAAAAGAAAACTAATTTTCTAATTAAAGAGAAATAATTAGCTAAATAATTCACTCTTAGAATCCCTCTTTGACAGCCGGGATGACAGCCTATCTACAGGCCTTATATAGTACAAATTGATTACAATTATTTTAGGAATCTTTCAACACTCCCCCTCAAGCTGGCGTGAATATGTCATTCATGGTATGCTTGCTGATGAAACATTCGAACTATGCCTTGGGAAGACCCTTGGTGAGAATATCTGCAACTTGGCCAGTGTTTGGTATGTAGGACATACATATCACACCGCTATCCAACTTATCCTTGATGAAGTATTTGTCCACTTCTACATGTTTTGTTTTGTCATGTAGAACTGGATTGTGTGCGATTGAGATTGCTGCCTTGTTGTGACAATAGACCTTGATAGGTGTAGGTATAGAAACCCTCAATTCTTCTAAAAGTCTTTTTATCCATAAAGCTTCACAGAATCCATGTGCCACTGAGCGAAACTCGGCTTTAGCACTGCTTGCTACCACACTATGTTTTTTACTCCCCCAAGTAACCAAGTTTCGTCCATCGAACGTGCAGTAACTTGATGTGGATCTTCTGTCACTTATACTACCTGCCCAATTTCCATCAGTGTAGGTTTCTATCTGAATATGATCCCCTTTTTTGAAGAGAAGTCCCTTTCTAGGAATTCCCTTAAGATATCTTAAAATTCTGAACACAGCTTCAAAGTGAGCAATCCTAGGTGAGTGTATAAATTGACTTACCACACTTAGTGGGAAAGCTATGTCAGGTCGTACGTGAGCCAAATAGATTAGTCTTGCAACTAATCTTTGGTATCATTCTCGGTCTAGTATTTTGCCAGTAGTAGTTGGTTCCAGCTTCAAATTAGACTCAATCAGAGTATCTGCTGCTTTGTAACCAGTCATGTCTGTTTCTTTAAGTAAATTGAGAACATACTTTCCCTGGTTTATGAAGATGCCTTCCTTGGATATGGCAAATTCCATGCCCAGGAAGTATTTTAGAGTTCCTAGATCTTTGATCTCAAATTCAACGTCCAACTTCTTCTTCAAGTTGTTGATTTCTACAAGATCGTCCCCTGTCATGATTATATCATCCACATACACAATCAAGATAGCTAATTTACCTCCCGTAGCGTGTTTGAAGAACAATGTATGATCAGCTTGGCTCTGTGAGAAGCCATGCTTTCTAACAACATTTCCAAAAACGCTCAAACCAGGCTCTTGGGGATTGTTTAAGACCGGGATTTCTTCAGCTTACACACTTTTACCCTTCCCAAGTCATTCTTCAAATCCGGGACGTAGATCTATGTAAACTTCTTCTTGTAGATCTCCATTTAAGAATGCATTTTTGACATCCAAGTGATGGAGTTGCCAGTTGCAATTAACTGCAAGAGAAAGAAGTATTCTGATGGAATTTATGTTAGTAACAGGAGCAAAGATGTCTTGGTAGTCTATTCCGTGAGTTTGAGTGAATCATTTTGCTACGAATCTTGCTTTGTATCATTCCATACTACCATCGGCTTTACATTTCACGGTAAACACCCATTTCCAAGCAACTGTCCTCTTATCAGTTGGTAGGTTAATCACACTCCAAGTGTCATTCTTCCTGAGAGCATTCATCTCTTCTATTACTGCTGATTTCCAATTCGGATTACCTAATGCCTCCTAAATAGTTCTTGGAACAAACAGATTAGAAATCTTCTTTATGACTGTCTGACAACCTTCCATAAGACAAATACTTAGCAATAGGATGTCTAGTGCAAGTTCGTGTCCCTTTTCTTAGATCTATTGGAAGATAAAGATCATTTGAGGACGAATAAGGCAATTCAAGTGATAGAGGAGTAGGAAGAAAGGACGGATTACCCTGAGTGGTCGTGGAAGGACCATTACTCGGTGAATCACATTGAACATCTGCTGAGGAAAAACTGGTGCCGTCGCATCTTAACGAAATCTCTTTTTGGTATAAACCTAAAGTTCAAAATGAGGAATATTATGGCCTTTTTGGTGTACTTCTCCCCCTGTCTCTGATGTAACAACATTTGGCATAGTAGGATTAGGGAATTCACAAGTTTACATATGTTCAAAAGTTGTTTCCTGAATTTGTTTATTAAAAGTGATTAAAGGTATTGACTCAGAAACATTCGGCACAGGTAGACTTATAGTTTCCCAAAAAGTATCTTCCTCAATTACTCTCTCCCCCTAAAGAGAATTTTTTTAAAAGAAAGGTTGGTTTTTGACAAAGGTTACATCCATACTCTTGAAAAATTTTCTTGTGACAAGATTAAAACATTTATAACCCCTTTTATTAGATGCATAACCGATGAAGAGACACTTTTCAAATTTCGGATCCAATTTTGATCGGAAGTTATTGGATATGTAAACGTAGCATGTAAAGCCAAAACCTTTCAGAGGTAGATTAGCACTTAACCGAGATGTGGGAAAGGCCTTTTTCTAAACAATTTAATGGTGTTTCAAATTTCAAAACTGGAAATGGCATTCTATTTATCAAATAACAGGCAGTCAAAAGAGCATTACCCCAAAGATATTTAGGAACATTCATTGAAAACATGATGGCACGGGCAACTTCAAGCAAGTGTTTTTTTTTTTTTCTTTCGACAATTCCATTTTGTTGTGGTGTATCACGACATGTGGATTCATGAACGACACCCTTTTCCAAAAGAAATGTTCCTAAGTACTTGTTAAAATATTCATTTCCATTATATGTTCTTAAAATGCCAATCTTAGTCTGAAATTGATTTTCAATCATGAGGAAAAAATCTTTAAAACATTGTTCAACTTCGGATTTCTTTCCCAGCAAATATACCTAACATACTCGGGTATGATCATCAATGAATGTCACAAACCATTTTTTTCCTGAAAGTGTGTAACCTTAGATGGGCCCCAAACATCATTATGAAATAAATATAATGGTTTTGACGCAAAATAAGGCTTCAAAGGAAATGAAACTCGATGATCTTTAGCTAAATGACAAGCCTCACAATTCAACTTTGAACAATCAATTCCTTTAAACAATCCAGGAAATAAATGTTTAAGATATGGAAAGCTAGGATGTCCTAATTTCCTATGCCATAACACTATTTGATCATAGACAAAGATTGAACTAGTACTACCTAATCCCTGAGCTTTTTTATTCCCGAAAGAAATCTCATCAAAGTAGTACAGTCCATTTATTTCCCTAGTAGTTCCAATCGTCTTCCTCGAGCTCCGGTCCTAAAAAACACAATGGGAAGGAAGGAAAAGAATAGAACAATTAGAATTTTTTGAAAATTTATTGATAGAGAGAAGATTACAGGCAAGTTTTCGAACATGTAAGACCGAATGAGAGTGGATTTTTCAGAAACTTTAATGTGTCCTTTGCCTGCAATTGGTGAGAAACTACCATCAGCTATTCTAACTTTTTTACCACCTAAACAAGGAATTATGAGCTAAACAGATGTGGGAGAACTTTTCATGTGATCAGAAGCCTCTGAATCGATGATCCAAGGGCCGGCTTTTGCAAGAACAAAGAGAGCTAAGGGTTTACTATCTGAATGTGCCATAGAACTGACAGGAATACTAGGTGACGAATCAGATTTCAGCAACTTAAGAAGATGATCTAACTGCTCCTTACTGAATGGAGAAGACCCGGCTTCATTTGCAACAGGAGGGTTCTTCTCACTCGGCGCCTGTTTCCCTTACCATTGGACGGTCTTCCATGCAGTTTGTAGCAAGTCTCTTGTGTGTAGCGCGTTTTGCCACAATAATTGCAGCGTAGAAGGTTTTTGTCTGCTCCACGATGGTTTTGGGAAATCCTGTGACTGACTTGGGCTTCGGGAATAGCCAGGGCTAACCCCTCTGCAGGTCTTGTTGCACCAGGAAATTTCTTCCCCAACTCTCCTCTCGGCGTACTTCAACAAAAACTTCACCAATTGGAGGCAGTGGGTTCCTTCCAATGATTCGGCCACGCACCTCATCGAATTCAATGTTCAAAGCAGCAAGAAATTTGAACACACGGCTGACATCTACCATCTTCTTGTAATGATTACAATCTTTCGATGATTTCCATTCATAATTATTAAACAAGTCAAGGTCTTGACAAATTCTCTTGAGAGAATTAAAGTATTTTGTAACGGAATCGTCACCTTGGCGAATTTCTCCAAATTGCAACGTTAACTCATACACTTGGGATTGATTCCTGAGGTTGGAATACATCTGTGACACGTTATCCCATAGGTCTTTGGCAGTGGAATAGCACATGTAATTGGCACCAATCTCCTCGGCCATGGAATTAACCAACCGGGTCATTACCATTGAATTTTCAGCATCCCAAATGGCATAGGCTGCGTCCTTCACGTTAGGCTTCTTCGCATCTCCTATAATGTAGCCGATCTTACCCCTTCCTCTGATGTACATTTGGACTGACTGTGACCACCGGAGAAAATTGTCGCCATTGAGTCAGATAGTGGTTATTTGAATAGGGTGATTTTCAGATGGGTTCCAGACAATTTGGGGTTCAGGCCGAGATTAAAATGATCGAGACTGAGTGGATTCGGACGTGGTTTCAGACATTGTGGGAGAAAAGAGCAGATTCAAACCCTAGGATTCTTTCTCTACTCTGATACCATAAAAGCAGAGAATAGGAGCTTGAATGAATAATAAAATTGCTCTATTGTATGCTAAATTACACGAGAATATAAAGTTCCATGCTGATGTACAAAAAAGGTAACTAATCTTCCTAATTAAAGAGAAATAATTAGCTAATAATTCTCTCCTAGAATCCCTCTTTGACAGCCGGGATGACAGCCTATCTACATGCCATATATAGTACAAATTGATTACAATGATTTTAGGAATCCCTCTGTGTTATGTGTGATTTTGCACTACCCCAATCAAATGTTAGAAACTTAGAATCTTGTATTTTAAAATTTTAAGGTTTAAACTCCTAAACTTTAATCATTAGGACCTTGATTAAGAAATTATGTACTGGGGCTTAATGCATTTGCAATCTCACAGTTTATCTAACCAATAGTGTGGTGACATAATTGTGGCAAAGGAAGACATTCAAATTCAGTGTCAAAGAGTCAGGGGTCCACAAAATGTTGAAAGGTACAAGGACAGTTTTGTATTGGTCATTGAGTTGCTGAACGAAACAATTGTTAGAAGTGTAATTTGGAGTGTCAGAAGTTGGTGATTTTGATTGGTATCTCATTCATTTTCTTTTGGCACTTATCTTGATCAGAGGCTCTAAACTTTGTAAAATAAGTTAAAATAAGTCATTGTCCAATGCGTAATCATAGCTATGTAAATATTTGTCTCATTTCCTAAATTTCATTCAAATGCTCAAGCCCGTCAATTCTTCCAGCGGCCTTCCATTTTAGAACAGCATAACAATCTATAGAGAAATTAAAGAGAGAGAGAGAGAGAGATGGTGGGTGAGGGAATAAAAGCAAAGTTGACTAAAATTAAAAAATGCAGAGGAATTTGGTTATCTTTTGTCAAAATGACTTTTTAATATTGCATGTGAGAGGTGACAGTGTAAAGATCTGCCTGAAAGTCATCTAAGCCATGAAGTTCTCCTCCTATCGGTTCCAAAGCTTGATATGCATGTCGACTTCGTTTCCTGTTTCCATGAGCTTTTAGGTCCTTTGGTTACTTAACAAAACTTGCCATTGATTTTTAAATTTATCCTCTATATATGTTTGATTATTTCCTCATGAACTTTATGTCTTTTATGTTTGAATAATGGACGGTCTTGTATTTTTGTTTTTAATTAAATAGATTTTGTGTAGGTGACTCTAGTTGGTTACAATCACAAATTGCGGATCTTGCTGGAAACTGTGGTGGAAAAAATTGCAAATTTTAAAGTGAAACCTGACAGGTTTTCTGTGATCAAGGTATACATTAAGGCCTTTAATTCCTAACGATCTTATTTTAAATGTCACTGTGAATTCATTGACTAGGTTTTGAACATCAGGACGACTCTTTGTTATGGTATTACACTAAACTTGGAAGTTATAAACATGAAACCATTCACCCTAAAAGAAATTGCAGAAATGTTGTGTGATATTGGACAGATGTATCTATTGCTATACAAATCTATAATTGTTTTACTTATATTCTCTTTATCAGGAAATGGTAACAAAAGAGTACCAAAATTTGAAGTTTCAACAGCCCTACCAGCAGGCTATGTACTATTGCTCATTAATTCTACAAGATCGCACATGGCCTTGGATGGAAGAACTTGAAATTCTTCCACATGTGGAAGCTGATGATCTTGCTAAATTTGTTCCTTTAATGCTCTCAAGAGCCTTCTTAGAGTGTTATGTAGCAGGTTCCCGCTTTTTAACTTTTCTACCAAAATAGTTGTCATTAACACATTCATATTTGAGTTTTTAAAAACTTCTTTCCCCCCCTTTTTTTTCCAGGAAATATTGAACACAGTGAAGCTGAGTCAATGATCCTGCATATAGAAAATGTTTTGTTTGAGGATTCAAAACCTATATGCCAACCTTTATTCCCATCCCAACATTTGACAAATAGAATTGTGAAGCTTGAAAAGGGTATCAATTACTTCTACCCTGCAGAAGGCCATAATCCAAGTGATGAGAATTCAGCCCTTGTCCATTATATTCAGGTTTTTCAGCTTTCTACATACAAAAGCAATTATGTCTTTTGCGCAGTGACATTCTATAGTTCTTGCTAAAACAGGCATGATTAGTGCTCAGTTCTGGATCCTTGGAGTGACGACCAATAAATTACTGTGGCATGTTTGTTAAACGATACAATATTTATGCTGTTTTGATATTGTTTCCGTAATACTTCCAATTGAAACTTTAGGTCCATCGAGATGATCTTGTGCTGAACGTGAAACTTCAGCTTTTTGCACTCATTGCAAAGCAACCAGCTTTCCACCAGCTTAGATCAGTCGAGCAACTTGGTTACATCACCTTCTTGATGCAAAGGTTTGCAATAATTTGTCATTCCTCAATTTGATTTATTGGAGAGGCGACATCAGCTCTCTTAAAAAGTGGCATATTTTCTTATTGCAGGAATGATTTTGGTATACGTGGAATACAGTTCATTATCCAATCAACAGCAAAGGTATATGGCATAGTAATACCTTTATTAAACATTGGTTCCCCATCCCCGTTAGCATATGGTCTGTATCCCAAGAACTCTGTTTATTTTAACAGGGTCCGGCACAAATAGATTTGAGAGTCGAAGCATTCCTGAAGATGTTTGAGAGTAAACTATACGAAATGACCAATGATGACTTCAAGGTGAGATCAACACTGCTTTAGTGCCTTTTGTGTTCTGTTTGGTCATTGCCCCATATTTTTTCAAACATTGAATTTTGGACAGTGTGTTTTGTGATTGAATTTTTTAAACATAGATCAAACTTTCCAAATTCGAAAAAATTATTTTAAAATAGCTGCTGTTTTTGAAAAGTTTGACCTATGTTTTCTGCTGTAAAGTCACTGCTGTTTTTGTTGTAAAATAACTGTAAACAGCCGTAAAGTAACTGCTGTTTTTGTTGTTACACAGAACAACGTAAATGCTTTAATTGATATGAAGCTTGAGAAGTACAAGAACTTGAGGGAAGAATCTGGATTTTACTGGCGAGAGATATCAGTAGGGACTCGTAAGTTCGATAGGAGAGAATCAGAGGTAAGACTTAAAAGAGATTTTGTCAGATCCACTCCTAACGTCTAGAGTTGATCAAACTTCTTTTTGTTGGTAATGTGATGTGCACTTATTCTAGGTATATACTAACATCAAGATTTCTTTGAAGTAAGATAAAGCCTAAGCAAGCAAAAACCTGTGATCTGCAAATATATAAATAAGATGGTTTAATCGTTTCAATGATGTTGAACCAGGTTGCAGCACTAAAGCAGCTTACCCAACAAGAATTAATAGATTTCTTCAATGAAAACATAAGAGTTGGCGCACCTCAGAAGAAGTCATTGAGCGTGCGAGTGTTTGGGAATCTCCACTCTTCCAAGTACACTGCAGACAAAAACGAACCAGCGCAACCATGCTCGATCAGAATCGATGATATTTACAGTTTCAGAAGGTCAAGGCCGCTTTATGGTTCATTCAAAGGAACCTTTGGTCATGTGAAGTTGTAGTAAAGCCTATAATCTTTGACAAGACGTTAACCGGAATTTGGGGATTGCAGATGGAACCCCAAGGATACTGATTCCCCATCCTCAATTCTCAATCAACCGGAATAGTGACTTTAGAATTCATGAAGAAAGCATATGTTGGTTCAGGAACTATTAGGGGATCGAAAAGATATTTGCTACTTTTTTTTTTTAAGCTCTCGGTTTCTTGGGTGGCTATAGTATTAATTGTTGACGTTCTTTTCCCTGGCTGGCAATAAAATTGTCCCCAGCAGTTTATTAAGGGTAATCTTGACAAATACTCCTTAAAAGTGTATGAGTTGTGATTTTTATCTTTTACTCTTGATTCATTACATTTTTAGTTAAATAATTACATTAACAAACATGTATTTATCAAGAATAAGGAGTAAAGATTTAGATTCACACTCTCTAAAAAGTAAATTCTCCATTTTTTTGTTTATTTATTAATGGTAGAATAGAGATTTTGCTTTGGAGCCCGATTCTTAGTGGAGAAAAGAGGATCTAAAATGTTTGGAAGTAGTGAAGATTAGTTTCTCTTGCTCATAGTGGCTTTCTTTTTCTTTCTTTTTTATTTTATTTTATTATATTATATTATATTTTTTTGTTGTGTGGCAAACTCCACATTCAGCTTGTTTGAATTTCAACGCCTTGGTCTCCAGATTTCTTTCTGCTGCATGATCGCTTTTTCTAATAACAAAAAAAAAAAAAAAAAAATCGCTTTTTTTAAAAAAAAAAAAAAAAAAAAAAAAAAAAAAAAATAGCATAGCAGTACTTCCACCTACTTTCCGTCTTCCGTTTCACTTTATGTTTCTGATCGACTGAGAGAATTGTCTTCAGTTGGGAGAAAGAGAAACAGTTAACAAAACTACAACGGTATTTGGTATTTTGCTTTCCTAAACTTTTCACGGGTTGGCAATATGCTTTCAGGCTCTTAATAAAGAGTTATCGATTTAGGCTCTTAATTGAATTTAATCTTAATGAAGAGTTGCAGAATTCTCCAAATTGTTGAGAGCGCCTAAGTTCGTTTGAATGGAAAAAATTGGAATTTTGAATGACAACGGAGGACATCGTATCATGTGCACTATGATATTTCTTTGTAAATTTTATGCATTGTGATATTTCTTTGTAAATTTTAATAACCATAATCGATGTGGGTGTTCTTTGTAACACTTTGTTAAACTAAAAAATTAATTTATTGAAATTAAAAATTTAACACAACCTACAAATGATAACTACGACAGAGAAAATATTGGTTCTTCTACAGATGTATGTTATGTAGTTTGTGTTTTGTTTCTTATAGTTCACCTTTTATGAATTCACCCCAATCTTGTTCATCACCTTTCATTATCGGCTCATGACCATTGAAGGATTTTTTCTTTTCTTTTTCTTTTTTCAACGACAACCCAATTAACCCCAAAAAAAAAAAAAAAAAAGGCTTATAAAAAGTGTAAAAGATCAGATGATACCGAATGACAAAAAGAGAGAAATGAAATGAAAAAGATGAGTACCATCAGATTAAAAACGACGTAGAAACAATAGAACGACAATTAATGGAAATACGTCAAATATATTAAAATGACCTAAAAATAAAATACCACAAACAACAGAAAGCACTAGAGATTGAAAGCTATTTTACAATAAAAGACGACAAGAAATAGATAAACAATAACAAGTTCAAGAATAACAACCCAACAAATAAAAAATAAATAAAAAATTCAAGAACAACAAAAAACATAAATGCTAAAACACAATAAAACGACAAAATCTTAAATAACCACGGTTACATAAAAACTAAAAAAAAAAACGAAATAACGACAAGAATATGGAAAGGATAAGGGCTTGCTCGCCATCTTCACCAATCGTTTGAACGCTTTGAACACGCATAAGACGAGAACAAGCAGTCGAGCCAATCTTGTAGAGAAAAATAAAAGAAAATAAAAATACTAATAACAATAACAACAACAACAACAACAACAATAATAATAATAATAATAATAATAATGATGATGATGATGATGATGATGAAACGACGACAACAACACTCGTACAAATTCGACCTATGAGATTTTGTCATACCTTTCATTCTAAAGTACACATACAAAAAAAGTTCAGCGTATACAAATTAAAAATACACGTATTGATATCCTTGCTGCTAAATTCACTTAGGTGTTGCATACTATTTACTTCCATTTTCTTCAAGCGACAGAATAAATAATGAACTCAGTATCGAATCCGTAATCTGCCTTGCCACCGTAAGCGCTGGCTTTTGGATTTGTGTTGTAAACATGCGAGTCATCGCCCTTTCCGCCGCCGCCATTTCGGGAGCCGTAGTTTTGGTGATGATGGTCTTCATGAGTAGGAGGGTGGTAGTACATGCGAACGATTGAGGACAATGAGAGTGAAATCTTACAGCTATTCTCACTCCGGCATCCAATAATTCCACAAATTTCCCCATACAATATACTTATTATCTCCTATATCTTGCTGAAACTCTCTCTCTCTCTCTATAAATATATATATATATATATATATGTATATGTTATATCTCCCTATTGCTGCTTGAGAGGAACGCTACATAGAAGAAGGAAAACAAATAGAGTTAAAGCAAAGCTATAATGAAAGTCGAGAAACTGCTCTGTAAAGCAAACGGTACTGTGGCTGCTATTTTATATAGCCTCTAGTCTGCCATTTTCTTGCTTGAGTTGACTTTATTGCATTGCAATGTGTCACATGTGTTTTTTGTGTGTGCGTGTCTATATATATATATATATATATATATAAAGACAGCTTGATGAATAACTTGCAATTATATTGTTGACGGTGTTTTTCTGACAACGCGTTGCTTACTCTCCAAAGATACTCTCAATAACACTCGCGATTTAACTAAGGATTAAAGTTGAGAAATAATGTAAATGAGACAGGAATTTATAGTGGTTCGGCAAGAACTCTTCCACTTGTGAATGCACTAATATCTTCTCAGATTACAAACCCTCTTGGAATAATGAAATAGTGCGTAACCCCTTTCTCGGTTTTCTTGGCTCTATTTATAGGCCTTTACATGTGATTATTCCTTCGCCGTTCCCAAGGAGGAAGCCATCTTCTGTCCCTCGATTTCCGGGTAGGTAGGTGAGTTTTCATGATGACAACCTCAGGAAATGCAGCTGATCCCTCTCATCTGCCGCCTGATTTCCTGACTCCTGCAGTAGTAGTTAGATCAATACGTCCTTCCCCGAGTTGATAAGACCGTTGATGGATTTGACTGGACATGCTGTCTCGACGCAGTGGCCTCCAGAAGTCGAGTCATGGTGGTCGACGCATCTCGCCGTATATGGCCTCTCAACGTAAAGGCCACTTCAGCTACAGTCTGCTCCCTCGACGCCAGCGACCGATTCTTGGCGAGGAGTGCTCGACGCCTGTCGTTCGATAGAGTGGTCGATTCCTCGACCATGGTGTAACAATTACCCCCTAGACTGGGACGTCGTAGTGCGACTTTCCAGGCTATACAACGTCGAGAGCGCCATGTGGAGAAAGCTTTTCTGCGGGTAAGGGCGGCCGCTTGTAGGTATAGTGCATCATTGCGGTTGGTTTCTTGGACAGTGGAGTAGTCACGTCAATCGTGTTAACAGTCACGTCCCCACTTCCCTGATGCCACGTGGCATTGGAAGGATGAATCGTAACCGTCCGATTAAGTCCTTTTCCGTTGCTTTCTCCCAGACCGTTCGATCGCACCTTCTCGGATCCACCGTCGGATGATTCTACGGTCAAGATTTGGAGTCCTTTGGATTCCTCGGGGACCCCTGAGCTCCTCCTCGGGCATATGTATATATGTCTTCATATCCGCAGCTCTCTGGTCACTAAGCCTTCAGGACGATGTCACTCTGCCGGATTTTTACCAGAACCTTTCATCTTCGTGCATCCTTCCGTGCATCGCTCTTTTTTGCCCTCAGACTCAGGCTCTCTTCGTATCCGGTAAGCCCTCATTCCTTTCGTTCTTTCTGCGGGTTTGGTTCCAGTGTCTGTAAAATCAGGCCCATACACGTTATAAGGAGGGGAGATGTACTTACCTGGCGATGCCGGCCGTGAGCCGGGGGTTGAGCCCTCACGGCCTGATCCGTTTGGGCGTAGTTGTTTTGGCCTGAGACCTTCGAGCTAGGCTTTGGGTCTCTTTGACCTATGGCATAAATTTGTCTGTCTTTTGTATGGCTGCAAAGCCCAAGTGTCATATCCTTGGCTCAGGGGCCTCTAGTCTGAACACTCGTCACTCCCCTTCGCTCTGTACTTTTGACCTCTTGACCACTAGAATCTGACCAAACCCCTTTTGCTTGTTTCCAGAACATGTTACCAAAACAAGTTAGGGGTCGAGAGGTCTCCACCTCCAGGGTAAGGGCCGACCCTGAAGAGATGGCCATATCCAGCTCATCCTCGGGTGATAGCGGGGATTCCTTGCTCCGCCAAGTCGAGGACTACACCGAGGCTTCGGCCTCTGCCTCCCGGTCAGATGAGCTAATACTTCTCGATGACGAGGATGCTAGCCTACAGGTCGACCCTTCTAAAGGCCGCAGCCATGGGGTGGTGTCGACCATCGGACTAACAGGGATGGTCACGGATGTCAATCCGTCAAATATTAGACCCCTGGCTGCGATGAGGGCCTTCAATAACACAGGGATCGACCCCCTACATTTTTACCTGATTTTCCCGACTCCCAATGATCGGGCACACGCGCCCCCACCCCGCCATATGACCGTATATACGCGCTCTTTGAGCTTTGGGCAGACTCTGCCCTTTCATCCCCTCGTGAAGGCCCTTTGCAGCCTTCACAAGATTTCTCTAGCACAGTTATCTCCCAACTGCTGGACGACCATTAACTCCATGATAATTTTGTGGAGAAAATATTTGAACCTCGACCTAATCGTCGAGGAGTTTTTATACTGTTACGCCCTCAAGGCCTCCCCGAACCAAAGGGGGTTTTTCTACTTGGCTGCCCACGCCAAGGCCAAGCCGCCCGTGCCCCCTATGGTGGTCGAGAAGACGTCCAGTTCGTACAGGTGGAAGCCCCAATTTTTCTTCGTTGGGGGCAATTCAATTCCCACCCTCTCGACGGCGAGTGTCGGATGGGGACGTAGACAGTATTCAGCCAATACTGTAGGTTATCCATTTTTGCTGACTTGATAACGTTTGTTTTGCCTGTCGAGCCTTTCTCAAATTATTGCTTCTTACTGTAGGTGACGTCGTCCCTCGACCCCGACTCTCTGCGTCCGCCCTTGCGCACATCGAGGAGATTCTTGCTCGTCCTGAAGAC